AGACCAGGCCCCGCCGCCGCCGGCGCCGGTCGGGCTTCGCCCGGCCGCGCCCCCTGGCGGCGGCGAGGGAGGAGGGAGGAGGAGGGGGGGTGCGCGGCGAGCGGATCTGGGGGCCCTCGCCGGCCGCCTCGCGGGTGGCGGCGCGGGGAGGGAAACCTAGCGCGGGGGACTCCTTTGTTCAGCATGATGATAAGATTAATGTGGCCTTTTGTCTATCAAATGTAGGAACGTAAAGGTTTACCTAATAAATGGTGTGATTGGATCATGTATAGCATGAGAGGAGGTCATGTAGGGGTTAAGGTAAATGATAACATTGGTCCTTATTTTACAACTCATAAAGGCTCGAGGCATGGAGATGTCCCCTCACTTTATTGTTTGACTTGTTCGCTGATGCTTTGGCCATTATTATGGACAAAGCTAGACAATATGATTTTGTCAAGGGAGATTTGGGAGACATTTTAGATAAGGGACTTAACATGTTGCAATATGCCAATGACACTATTTTCCATTTGCAATATGATGAAAATAGTGTCAGATATATCAAATTTATCTTATGTGCAGTTGAACAAATATCGGGACTGACTATTAATTTCCACAAGAGTGAGCTTTTCCTTTAGAGAGGCTATGTAAAGAACTACTCCCTCTGTATCAAAATGTATCATAGTGTAAAAACATGTCTTATATTAAGTTACAGAGGTAGTAGATTATATCAAGAAATCTTCACATGTGAATTGGGCTCTGTCCATTTAAAATATTTGGGATTCCCTATTCAAGCATTAGGATTAGAAATAATCATTGGAAAGTGGTCACTCAAACAAATGAGAAAATGTGTGCTTGTTGGCAAGGAAAATTACTGAACAATGCTTGTTTGGTTAGCATTCCATTATTATGATGTCTTTCTATCCCATAACTGTTGGGGTGAGGAAGGAAAGTGATTTTGTTTTGAGCTAGGCTTGTTTGGAAAGTTGACGAAGATAAAAAATATTTGGTAAATTGGAAAACTTGTTGTCAATCAAGGGGGATTGGGGATTCTAAATTTTGATTTAACGAACAAGGCTCTACTTGCCAACTTGTTTTGGAAGTTAGAGCATCTACAACCGGACCTCTCAAACCCGCCTCATACGCCCGGGCGGGCCGCCTGGTCACTGTCCGGTCACGATTTTTGACCCAGACGGCCCCCTCAAACAACCCTCAAATGCCCGAGCTGACTGGCACCCCCCATATCCAGCCCAAACATGGGGCGGATATGGGGGCGCCCTGGCGCGCCCGGGCACGCCCGCCACATCGGACCCGGCCCACGCTGGCTCACCCGACCCCATATAAAATCCTCCCCATTCGCTCGCCGGATCAAACCCTAGTCACTTCACTCCCCTCCCCTCCATCACTCAAGCTCGTCTTCGAATCCTTCCGGTCGTCTCCGGCACAGCAGGCAGCGGATCCAAGTCATTCACCTCCAGATCTGTTGACCCCGAGCTCATCCCACGCGGCCCCGAGGAGGAGATGGCCGTCCGGCTTGCGCTCCGCCGCGCCTGGGAGGAGGCCCGTGCATGACTGCGCTCGAACTCCATCCTCCGGGAATCCATGGCGTCCGCCCAAATGGCACATGGATCCGGCGCTAGGCCGGCCGTAGATGCCTCACCGGAGGCCGTGCGGTCCGTCTGGCGCCCGAACGCGCTAGCGGACGCGCAACCCCTCCGGTGGCGCACCGATATTCGGGATGCACCATCGTCCCATGAGGCCATTGCACGGCATGCCCCCATGCAAGGCAGCGGTAGCCCTCACGACGGCGGACGTCGGCAAGGCGGTGTTGGTGAACGTTGCAGAAAATAAAAAAATTCTACGCTTCACCAAGATCAATCTATGAGTTCATCTAGAAACGAGAGAGAGGAGTGCATCTACATACCCTTGTAGATCGCGAGCGGAAGCGTTCAAGAGAACGGGGTTGAGGCAGTCGTACTCGTCGTGATCCAAATCACCTATGATCCTAGTGCTGAATGGACAGCACCTCCGCGTTCAACACACGTATGGTTAGGAAGACGTCTCCTCCTTCTTGATCCAGCAAGGGGGAAGGAGAGGTTGATGAAGATCCAGCAGCACGACGGCGTGGTGGTGGATGCAGCAGCGATATCGACGGGGCTTCGCCAAGCTTCAGCGAGAGGGAGAGGTGGTGCGTGGGGAGAGGGAGGCGCCAAGAGCATGGGTGTGGCTGCCCTCCCTCCCCCCTCTTTATATAGGGCCCCTAGGGGGGGCGCCGACCCTAGGAGATGCAATCTCCAAAGGGGGGCGGCAGCCAAGGGGGTGGCTTGC